GTGAATCCATGCTGACTGTTCCTGATCACTTTCCTCTCCTCTAAGTGCTTCAGAATTGATTCCTTGAGGACCTGCTCCATGATTTTTCCAGGGACTGAGGTGAGGCTGACTGGCCTGTAGTTCCCCGGATCCTCCTCCTTCCCTTTTTTAAAGATGGGCACTACATTAGCCTTTTTCCAGTCATCTGGGACCTCCCCCAATCACCATGAGTTTTCAAAGCTAATGGCCAATGGCTCTGCAATCACATCCGCCAACTCCTTTAGCACCCTCGGATGCAGTGCATGGGGACTATCGCCTCCCATGACTTGCATGCTATACCTCTGTTAATGCAACCTAAAATTGCATTTGCTTTTTTTGCGACAGCATCACATTGCTGACTCGTGTTGAGGTTGTGATTCACCATAGCTCCCAGAGCCTTCTCAGCAGTGCTGCTGCCAAGCCGGTTATCCCCCATTCTGTATCTGTGCATTTGTTTTTTCTTTCCTAAGTGTAGCACCTCACATTTGTCTTTGGTGAATTTCATTTTGTTGTCTATAACCTTGTTCTCCAATTTATCACATTCCCTCTGAATTTTAGTTCTATCCTCCAAAGTGTTTGCAACCCCCCTTGTCTCTCTCTCTTCACCCCCACCCCCCGCCAGTTTTGTATTATCTGCAAACTTGATCTATTCCTACATCTAGGTCATTAATAAAAAAGATGTTTAAACAACACCGGACCCAAAACAGATCCCTGTGGAACCCCACTTGAGACCGCCCTCCAATCTGACATCATTCCATTAATAGTTACTCTTTGTTTGCCGTTCTTTTAACCAATTATGTATCCACTTAATGGTAATTCCATAAAGCCCACATTTCTCCAGCTTACCTCTCAGAGTGTCATGTGGGACTTGTCAAAATCCTTGGTGAAGTCCAGGTATATTCTGTCCACCGCACTACCCCATCCACCAAACCAGTTATCCTGTCAAAGAAGGAAATCAAGCTGGTTTGGCCTGATTTGTTTTTGGTAAACCCAGGCTGGCTGCTAGTGATCACCTCTTCATCCTCCAGGTATTTGGAAATGGAATGTTTTATACGTTGCTCTAGTAGCTTCCCAGGTATCGAAGTCAGGCTGACTGATCTATAGTTCCCCAGTTCCTTCTTTTCCCCCTTTTAAAAGATGGGCACAATGTTCACCCTTCTCCAGTCTTCTGGGGCCTCTCCTGTCATCCATGAGTTTACAAATACTATTGCCATTGGCTCTGCGATTTCTTCAGCTAATTCCTTCACCGCCGTGGGGATGAATAGCATCCGGCCCTGCTGACTTGAATTCATGCAAATTGGTCAGAAGATCTCGGACGTGTTCTTTACTTATCCCGATCTGCAGCCCTTCCCCTTTGTGGTCTGTGATAACTTTGTTAGTTGTCCAGTCACATGTTATTTTTTTGTGAGAAGACTGAAGCAAAATAGGCATTGAGCAGCTCTGCCTTCTTATCATCCGTTACCAGCTCCATTGAGCAGTGGGACCACACTATCCCCGATCTGTCTTTTTAGTCTGATGTATTTGTAGAACCTTCCTTGTTGTCGCTAATGTTTCTTGCCAGTTTTAACTTCTTCCTTGCCTGGGTTTTCCTGATTTTTGTCCCTACACACTCGTGCTATTCCCATGTCTACTCCTTAGTGACATGCCCCTCCCTCCATTTCCTGGATGTCCTTTTTGGTTTGTAGATAGCTAAAAAGCTCCTTGTGCAGCCCCAACATAGGCTGCTGCTACAGATGGGGTAGTGCCTATGCTGTGACTCCCTTGCTGTAGAATTGTGCTCCAGCACAGAGCGGTCATTTAGAGCTTTTTGTTTCTGTGGCAAAACCCGTGAACAGAGTGTGGAATTCTGCAGTGTCTGCTTGAGTCTGCAAACAGCCATGAGACTAGCTCTGGGTGTGAACACTGGAACCTACAGCTGACTGCTGGAAGTGTCGTCATTAGAATCATAGAATATCAGGGTTGGAAGGGACCTCAGGAGGTCATCTAGTCCAACCCTCTGCTCAAAGCAGGACCAATCCCCAGACAGATTTTTTTGCCCCAGATCCCTAAATGGCCCCCTCAAGGATTGAACTCACAACCCTGGGTTTAGCAGGCCAATGCTCAAACCACTGAGCTATCCCTCCCCCTGCATTAACCACTGCACAGCTAGTCACTGCAGGAACATTGAGGCAGTGTGCTTAATCTGCCCTCCCAAACTGCTCCCACACCTCCCCCGGGATCAAAAGCCCCAATTACCAGTGACTAGCACCTCCAGCTTCACCCCGACCACTTCCGTGATGCAGTTAGTGGCTGAGAATGCAGGGGCAGCATACAACGGAACTTGCTCTTCACCCACTTCTGCGCTGCCCTCCTTCAGTAAAAGCCTTCACTCCCGAAGCGTGACCAAAGCTGTGCTGAGCCCCAGGAGCCTGGGCACAGCCTTGGGTGTCAGCTTAGTGTGGAGAACATGTAGGGGGCTTTGTTCTAATGGGCCCGCCTCTTGCTAGTGGTTAGAGCAGGCGGCTGGGCAAGTTGTGGTATGACCTCGGGCAAGGCCCAGACCCCTGGTTCCCAAGCTACAAGGATGCTGCACAACCCCACTGAGAGCCTTTGCTGGACACTGCCATGGTAACATCTTGGGGACTTAGTTGTCCTGAGGGTTGTGTAAATGAGAGGAGCCCACTGGCAGCAAATGACTCCACCGGGCAGTCAAAGCCCTGCGGGTGTTGCTAGGGTTTTTCAGGGCAGAGTTTAGCATTGATGGAAAGGAATGTGGTTGATGCTGGCTAGAGCAGGTGGTGTAAAATCCCTCCCCCTTCTCCCAGTGCCCCCAGGTATTACCCATTACTGCCTCTCCTGCGGGCGGGCAGACTGTCCTGCTTCATTGTGCCCAATTCTGTAGGCGATTGGGCTGCAATGGCCACACTCCTTTTCTTGTTTTCAACCCCATGACCTGTAGCTCTGGGGTTGGCAGCTGTTGCCTAGGGTCAGTTCCTGTCTTCTCAATTACATCGTCTTGTGCCTGGAGTCTGATCACCTTTCTCCTCTCGTAGGTGAGGACAACGACTATACTATCTGGCTGGCTCACTCCAGCGAGCCCGGCAGCCGCACTGATGGCTGTGTTCTGGGCTATAAGGAGCAGTACCTGCGTCTCCGCAAGTCATCTGTCTGTCAGAATGGCCGGGATTACGTGACGATGAAGCAGCCATCTGTCTGCCCGTGCACGCTGGAGGACTACCTCTGGTATGGCAAGCAAAGGCTTGCTCCCCTTGCATGGCGAGGGGTCTGGCATAGTTGGGCAAGGGGTGATGTCTATCTGCTAAGGTTACTAGAGTGGCACTGCATCAGGTGGCACTCTCGTCTGGGGCTCAGGTGGTGGCATAGGAGCTGCCTTTGCGTAGGACCCGCTCGCGTGGATCATCTAGCCCGGTAGGCATGTAGGGTTTGTCATACCGGCTCAGAGCATCACCCAGCGAGTCAGGGATCCCACTCCTAGTGCCTGGTGAAGGCAAACCTGCTCAGAGTGCACCACACATGGTGCCATGCTGTAACTAGGGGGTGGGGGGACCGCTAACCAGACACTGACTTCCCTACGGTGCAAGTGGGCGTGCCAAGATCTGACCTACAGCCTAGCACAGCATGTATCCGCTTGGCTAGAAGAGTCCACTTCAGGTGGTCCAGGACTGTCTGTGTGATAGCGCTCTAGCCGGCTAGGTGAAGTTCACCCCTGAGCCATCACTCAGTGTGTCACTCACACCCGTCTCTGCTTTTTATCCTTGCACTGCAGCGATTTTGGCTATTTCCGCCCTGAAAACCAGTCTGTCTGCGTGGAGCAGCCGGAGCTGAAGGGCCATGACCTGGAGTTCTGTCTCTATGGCAGGCAGGAGCTGCTGACGACTAGAGGGTAAAGTGGTTTTTTAACAGGGATTCGCTCAGCAAACACTGGCCCCAGATAGGGGCAGGAGCAGCATGGCAGGGACTCCTGGGAGCAGGGGGATAGATCTTGCTGCTACCAGTGGGTAGGGCTACAGGGTGGGAATTAGGAGGACCTGGGTTCTGTGCCAGGCTGTATCACCAATTTCCCCTCTGGGCAGTGATGGTACTTCTCAGCTTTGCCCCATGGCTTTGGGACAAGTGCTGCTGTAGCATACTCAAGTGGGAAACTGCCCTTCTGGTCCTTGGAGGCCAGTGCTGGGCACACAGAATGGATGTGGATACCCCTGCTGCTGGCCCTGTGCTGTTTGTGGGGGCAGTCGATCATGGAGCCAGACCTCAGGGGAGCCTACCCAGCTTTAGGAGGCCGTTCCTCTGGCCCCCTGGCAGGATACGGCTGGAGATCTCCCAGCAGGTCTGGGCGTAGCTTTTGGATCCTGGCTAGGAAACCACGTTGCTCTGCACACTTTCTGCCCCTCCCAGGGTGGGGGTGGGGGGTTTGATATCTCCAGGAATGGCCAGGCAATCTCTGAGCTGGCCTGGGAAGCTCCCTCCTGATCATCAGGCCCTGCAGGCGCTTTCTTCCCTGACATTCCAGGTATCGTAAGATCCCGGGAGACAAATGTAGCGGTGGGAAGAGTCCGAGCCGTGAGGTGACGGACCTGAAGAGGAAATGCACAAGCAACTTGTTGACCCCCAGCCAGCTGGTAGGTGATAGCAAACGTGTGGGGAGCCAGCCAATACCAGGGCGTGAAGTGCTTGGGATCCTTGGGCTGTGAGGTTCTTGTACAACTGCCAGGAACTGGAGCAGTCTTGGTTTAAATTTCATGTTTTGTGAATGTAGCAAAGCTTCCTTTCTCTCTCTCTCTGCAGTCCTCTGCCTCCAGCTCTGCTCCCATAATCCTGGCTGTCGTGGGCGTGATGCTCCTCACCATCATAGCTGGAGTCCTGATCATTAAGAAATACGTCTGTGGGGGCAGGTGAGGTTTGGGAGGGGTTTCACACGCAGTCGCTCTGGCTGAAGTATTACACATCTCATAGATTTTAAGGCCAGAAGGGGCCATCGTGATCATCTAGTCTGACCTCCTGCATGTCACAGGCCACAAAACCTCACCCAGCCACTCCTGTAACAGACCCCTAACCTCTGGCTGAGTTACTGACATGTTCAAATCATGCTTTAAAGCCATCAAGTTACAGAGAATCCACCATTGACACTAGTTTAAACCTGCAAGTGACCCGTGCCCCATGCTGCAGAGGAAGGTGAAAAAACCCCAGGGTCTCTGCCAATCTGAGCTGGGGGAAAATTCCCTCCCAACCCGAAATCTGGTGATTAGCTAGACCCTGAGCATGTGGGCAAGACCCAGCAGCCAGACACCTGGGAAGGAATTCTCTGTAGTAACTTGGAGCCCTTCCCATCTAGTGTCCCGTCACTGGGATTTTTGCTACTGGCTGTCGCTGCTTGGCCACATGCCATCGTAGGCCGTCTCATTGCACCATCCCCTCTATAAACTTATCAAGGTCAGGCTTGAAGCCAGTTAGGTTTTCTGCCCCCTCAGCAGATACGTCCATGCTGCAATCTAAGGTGTACGTGCAGCACCCTGGCCAAAAGTAGCAGTGTAGCCCAGTGGCACAGCTTCAGCACAGGCTGTCCGAGATCCCGGGCACCTGCTCGTGTTGCTCAGACTGCGGCATAGGCATATCCTGACATGGCTGTGAAATCTCCCAGCTTCAGTTAAGTGAAGGTCATTGATGGTTAGCAGCTCCTGTATCCTCCCCACAGTCACTAACCATTCCACTACATAGTATGGTGTTGTACTTAAAGTACTGCACAGGATCTTTTCAGGGGGAATAAGGCAAAACGCCACATTTATTAGTAATACATGTATTCATTAACACTGTATTATATGCATATGATATATATTACACTCATGCGTGCGCGCACACACACACACACACACAAACACACTCCGTCTTGTTGTTGTTACCAATTAGTTGCTCCCCTTAACTGCACTGGCCAGGTGAGTTAGATGGGGGAGGGGGTGGAGCGGGCTTCTGCCGATCCGGAATCCATGCTCCCATGTTGACAAGACGAGAACCGGGGTCCTCTGCAAGACACCTCACTTTTATAGCAGCTTCCCTCTCATGCAAATCTGTACCAGATTCAAAATCTGTGTCTCTGTCCATTGGTCCTTTGTGCTGCTTCCTTCTGGGGGTTGTCCCAATGCTGCAAAGAGGGTGTTTCCAAAAGAAGGTGCTTGCTTCTAACCCCCGGAGGCCGTCAGTATGTCTGCTTGTCTTTAATGAGCCCACTTGACACGTTTTATTGTCCTTGGGTCTGGCTCCCAGCCTCTCTCCAATGGTTGAGGTTGTCTGGAGGTGCTGCCTTCCATGCCTTGCTCATCCACACTTCATTCATTCAACAGGGCAATTGATTAAGAGTCGGGGGAATCTTGTTCTACTGCTAGCAAAAAGACATTTTTCTTCTATCTTATTCTGTCCTTAGGGGCTATAATATTATATCAAGGGCAATGCAAAGTTTCTACATGAGGCTTTGATACAAAGTCTCCATATACCAAGGCTCATCAGTACAAGGTTTCTATATGAGACTTTGATACAAAGTTTCATGAAAACAGAGGTCACACGTGGGTAGACCCACCACAAGGTTATATAAAGAGGCACAATGTAAATTCCACTGCATAGTACAGGTCATCTTAAAGGCCTGGAAGTCTTCCCCCAGCGCTGGCTGCCGTCCTTCCCAAGCTCCTAGGGCATTAGAAGGTCTTGCTGTTTGACATGCCAGAGGTGCAATAGACAGCGTGGCATGTCCCTGACTCCTGTGTCTGCTCCACCCCCAGGTTCCTGGTCCATCGCTATTCCGTCCTGCAGCAGCACGCAGAGGCGAACGGGGTGGAAGGGGTTGAAGCTCTGGATGCAGCCAGCCCTGCTAATAAAGGGGGCTACCATGACGATTCTGACGAGGTAGGTGATTGGAGGGTGGTGCAGATGCAGCAGAGAGCAGCACCTGAGAATGGCATGTCCTCCTCAGTGTCCTGGGGAACCAGGGCTTGAGTTGGATGCTGGAAGGATGGGGTTAAGAATGGCTGCTGCTCCCGTGCTGGAAGGGTACTGAATGTCAGGGCCATCTGAAACTGCCCCTTTGTTTGAGCAGTCCTAGTGGAGTGCAGACCACAGCCACCAGCAAAGGGAGAGTAGGGCTGGCGCTGGAGAACCTGCCTCCCACTCAGTGTCATCCCCAAGCTGCAGAAGGCCAGGCCGGTCGGGGCTGAACTGCCGGGGTTGGCCTGCTTGCAGAATGAAGGCCCTGAGCCGGGCTGGGGAGCAGCTCCAGCCGAAGGAGCCTTTGGGGGGCGGGTGGGCGGGCAGGCCAGTGGGTTCTGAATGGGGCAGCTGGTGAGCTGCAAACATATTCGGGCCTGGAATGTCTTCAGCGGCTTGGAGAACACTTGATCTTGGGGTCTCCCACTCAGCCTTGGCGGGGCGGACTAGTTCCCAAGCGTCTCTGAAAGTCACTCCCGTGTGGGCTGAATGGCCTGCGTGAAATAAGTCAGTCCCAGTCCCGTTCCTAGGTGGTCTGTCTGAGAGAATAGTGCAGCGGGCCCCCTGTGCCGGCAGGCTGAGCCCCGGACACTGCCCCCACCCCCAGGTACTTAGCCTTCTGGGCCAGGAACCGCATGGCGCATATGAGAAGCTTGCACTACGGTGGGGCCTGTCTTGTCGATAACAGGACTTCAGTCCTGGGGCTGTTAGGCAGAGGAGTGGGCTTGTGCTGTCCTGGTGGCACCATCATCCTAGCTATCACACAGGCTGAGACCTTCACGTAGTGCTGAGTTCCCAGTGGCCCCATGGCTTCCTGAGCATGGGGGGACAGCAGCAGGTGTGGTGTCCCGCTCTCTCCCATTCCCAGGGCAGGAGGGGAGTGATCCTGGGCTGGGATCTGACCGAGATGGGGGGAGGCTCTGGCGCTGTCTGCCCTGAGGGGTGAGCACTCGTGTTCTCTCCTCAGGACCTCCTGGAGTAGGGGCACGTCGCTGCTTGCTGGCACTGGACAAGTGGGTTTGGACGCTGCCACAGATCTGCAGAACAGCAAACGCCTCCTCCAGCCCACGTTTCTCCGCAGTGGCCGCCTGACCCCTTTCCGAGGGACTCCACGCTCCTGTCACTTCCCTTGAGATTGTCCAGAGCCAGCAGCGCTGCTGACCCGGGGAGGAGACAGGGAGCTGCTGCAGCGACCTGGCGGCCCAGAGGCCGGGGAGTGGGGGACGTGGGCGTAATTTAACTTTATTTTAATGAGATTTCTTTCCAGCTGGTTGTTTTTTAAGGAAGACTAAATAGGAAGGTGAAACCAGCATTTCACTGAGCACTAATCATGACGAAGGTGCAATTCACCCTGCTGCAGAGAGAAGGCTCTTAACTCCAGCGTCACCCCTCGGGGGCTCATCTCTGCCTTGGCATGGCCTCGGCTGGGCGAAGCTGCTGTTGGCGCTGGCCTATCCCCACCACTTCACCTAGCATGGGCAGGCCTCGGGGCCCCTGCCAGGACGGCATGTCGCTTAGCCAGCACCCTGCAGGGCCACGGGCTAAAACGGGGGAGCGGGGGGTGCCTTTGATTTCATCATAGGAGAAGTGATTGGATGGAACCAGCGCGGCGCATCAAGTGGAGTTCATCTCTGCGCCAGAAGTAACCGCTGGGACTGGCCCTTGTGGAACCAAAGCACTGAACTGGGAAAGCACCATGTCTGCAAACACCGGCAGCAGCAGCAGGGGAGGGAAAGGGGTTATTTTTAGTTCTAGGAATAAGTGCAACAGAAAACTCAGTAGGAATAAATCTCCTGCTTCTTGGTGTGTTCTTCGGGATGGTGAGAAGCATGTTCCAGGTGGAAATGTCAGTGCTCTGGCAAAGAGCCCCATGGCTTCGCTTAAGGGGGCAGAAGAGAGAGGCTCCTAGTTTTCGAACATCCACCTGTTTTCCCCCCTAAAGCAATAGGAGACCAGCTGCTTGGTAGCTCCTAGAGCTGCTGTTGATGTGGCCAGGATCCTCAGTGCCCCACCCTTCCCAGTGGTAACACCTTTGAGTGTGATATCGCCTGACAAACTGTAAGCTGCTGCTCTAGGCGCATTTCCCCTCGGCTGAGTACACTGCAATGTGTCCATGTCCCTTTTTAAACGTCTAGTTGTCCTCTGCAATAGATGCTGCCCTGCTGATTGCGGAGGGGGTGTCTAGGCCAATGCCTGGCTGGCCTTTGCACTTGGAGGACTGGGTGATAAAAAGTGAACATACAGAACAGTCTCTCAGATATAACTGGTGTTTGTTCTCCAGGGCTGGGTCCCAGCGGGCTGCCATTCATCCGGTGCATTGTTAGGCACCAGCGTAGGCCAAGATGCAAGGAACACAGTTCAACCCCAGGCACGCGGGAGACAGAAGTCTCAAGAACTGGTATTTTTCAAACTTGGCTTATTTGATCTGAGACGGCTTGCCTGGAATTGTCCATCTCACTGTCCCATTAGCAGCTTCCCCTTGACTTAACTCTTCTTTGACACTTTAAACCCATTTATTGTGACTCTTAACGTTGCTAAGTCCCAGCCTTGTCAGGGCTCAGTGTTGCAGCACCAGCTGACTTAGGAGCATAATGTCATTTTCAAGAGTGCTTGGGCTCTGTCTACACTGCCTGGGTTAGCGGAACTTGAGCCGGCAGACGTAGGGCTTGAGCATCTACACTCATCTGTAACCCTAGGTTCGGAAGTCTTGAACCCTGAAATTTGGCCCACAGGATGGTGGGTGCTTTCTGCAGACTCCCAGAGTGTGAGCCCTGTGGAGCTGCATCTACACTGCAAAGCAATAGGGCTTGAACCCTGGGTCCTGGCTTGACTCAGGCTCATATGCTCCACCCTGTGGGATCCTGGATCGCTGGGTCCAAATCCTGCGTTAGTATGATTTGTGTGTAGACGAAAGGGGTGGGGGGTTAGGCTTGAGCCTGAGTTCGAACCCTGGGCTTACATTGCAGTGTAGACATACCCTTAGGCTCCCGAGTCTCACTGAAAGACACTAGGACTTAGGCTCCTAAGTCAGTTAAGTTCTGCAACAAGGAGTGGAGCAGCCCTTAAATACCTTCACAAAAATCTGGCTGTAGCTACCGAATTCCTGTTACACTGGGGCTTTCCTTTAAAAATGTACAGGAAGAGCCATGCTGTTCCTGTGGCCACTAGAAGGCGCAGTTTCCCCAGATACAGCTGGAAGGCTGCTCTCCAAAGCTGTGCTTCTTTTGGAGTAGCCTATTGCAAGGGAGCGAATGTGATCTGGCTAAGATAGAGGCTGCTCGGTGGTGAAGGCAGATCTGGGTGCCTTTTCCTAGGCAACACATTGCCAAACTCTACCCTGGTCCCCTCAGTATCCAGCAGGTGTTTACGCAGCTGGTCATGTAGAATAGGAATGAAGTAGCTTAGCCTGTTTGCCTGGAGAGTTTCTGGTTCCCAGACTTGGTTTAGCAAAATTTCTTTTTAAAGAATGAGCTTTTGAGGAGCTTTCCTTTAGAATTTGACTAGCAGCCAGATAGCCGCAGCTGGCCAAAGCGCCAGGAGAAGCTCTGGGTCCACGTTCCTCACCAGCTGGGACCAGAGGCTGAAGAATAAATGAAAGGCGGCTGCTCTGTCTCTGGGAGTCTCCTGCAGACTGTCTCAAGCACTGCACAGCACAGCCATCTGGGGCAGAATCAGACGTCCACGGCTCTTAATCCTAGAGCGGTCACTGGAGCTCCAGACAGCAGCCTGTGATGGGAAACAGCAGCAGAGCATTTGGGGGATGGGACGGTCAGATGCACGAATGTAAAACTGGCTACACATTCTCAGGCTCTTGATACCAGCCTGTTCTGAAGGCACATCCTCGTGTACAGGCTGTCGAGGAAGCTGGTAAACTGTGGGTCTCTTGCACACCCTCTGCCCCATTTCCTGCCCCCAAACCCAGCAGCCTTGATGTTCGCTCTGCACACGGTAGAGCATCTGCCCCCCAGGAAGCTCGCGCACCAAGGGGGTCAACGCATCCCTGGGGAGAGACAAATGTCATTGTTCTGGTGAGCAACGGTGCATTTCCCCATGGGCCTGGGCTGTGCAACGGCAGCCCTCCTCTCCCTGAGCAAAGCACGCTGATGCTGCTGCATCCCGGTCCCTGCAGAATGGTGGCTGCCTGAGCACTGCCCTGGGGCTGCTGTCGCGTGGCATTGAGCACCAATGCTGCCCCAATACCCTTGGCTTACCAGAGTGCCTGCAGGGCAGATCAACACAGGGATGCTGTGCCACGTGCCCTGCCCAGGATATGTCACCACGTAACTAAAGCCAGAGCCCCTGCCCTGCCATGTAGAGTATCTGCGGGGTCCAGGCCAAGGGCAGGTCCAGGGGACGGGATGAAGGGGTGTGGCTGGGGTATAACTGTACTAGAGAGACAAGGGGGGGAGGGGATCTTTTATTGGACCAGCGTCTGTTGGTGAGAGAAGTCAGGGCTAGGGAATGACTTTGTACTGGGATTTTTCTGTATATTTGCAATATTTGGGTTAGAAATAAAAACCAAATGGACTTTGTGTTACCTGCTCTGTGGGCTGCCTTACTGTGCGAGCGGGAGGGGTTGGCTCCTGCTAGACTCCTCTAAAGCGCCCTCTCCCACCTGCCCCAGCGACAGGCCTTAGCAGACCCCTGGGCACTGTAACAAACTCGAGGTGCTTTCTCCTGGGCCCAGCTCCCCCACCAGTTTCTGAACGTGCCTAGCCACCGTAACACAATGTAGGGGCGGGGTCAGGGGATAGCAGCACAATCAATCTGTTTGGCCATGTGCCCCTCTTAATGGCTCCAGTAAGTCTGTTATTCGGGTGGCCACTTCCCTGCTTAATGCACTTGTCTGGGAACACACTGTCAGTAAAATGTACAGTCGATTAGTCCTATTGAATCTCCATCTTACCAGTGGCAGGAAAACTCCCCTCCCTTTGCTCACATGATCCTTCTGCCTTGCAGAGAGAGGTGGGCTTCCATGTCTGGCATCCGTAAGGGGAGCTGCATGAAAGCAGTGTGGGCTTGCCCTTGGGGCGGGTAGCCTGGGAGCAGCAGGACATTTGGGGTGCTGTGCTGCGGGCCAAGGCCACTAGTGCTGGAGGCCTTGGGGGATTGTTGGGAGTCTGAGGAGGGCTCAGACCAAAGCAAGTGGCTATTGGGTGAGTGTAGAGGCCAGAACTGATCCAACCCACCCCTCCCCTTCCAGGGTCTAACTCAGGAGCCCACAGCACGACTCCCCAGGGTGGTTTGTCCCTAGGCACCTCCCCAGGGCTTTTGAAAGGAAAAGCTACTTTAGTGTTTTGAAAACCTATTGACAGAATGGCTCAGTGTGTAGCCACTGTACAAACCACGGCCCCCGTGTGCTGTAGAAAGCCAGTTCCATAACAGGCGTGGTCAGCATGCAAACCGGCGTGCTCTGCCGCTGAGCTGCCATTTGTTACTGTCACGCCTAGGAGACCTGCTCCTGGGTGGGATCCCCCGTGGTAGGTGAACAAAAAGACTGTCCCTGCCCTAAGGCACTGATGATCCTGTACTGTGTGCACTAGATACCTACGGGCTCTTTTAGAACCTGTTTGTATTGTGGTAGCTGCCTGGGATATGTCCGCACTGTGGCTGGGCACAAGCTTCCCAGCCCGGGTAGGCAGACTAGTGCTAGCAGGCAGTGGCGGAGGCCAGCTCCCTGGATCTGAGCTCCGGGAGAGATGGAGCAGGACCCCATGGTGCTAGGTGCTGTACAAATGTTACCAATCTGGTTCTTGTTTTCTCAGCATTCATTGAGCTACTCTGGCACCCAGTGAGGCTGGGGATGTGGGCTCCCAGCACGCGCTTTAGGAAGAACAGCCTTGCGAGGCTTGGGAGCTCAGTGACTCTTCTGGCCAGTGCTACCTAGGGAAACGATCCCTGTAATTCAGGGTCTCTAACTGAGCACCCCAGAACCTAGCAGGATCGAGGGGTTCCCAGCTGAAGTTAACATCAAATGGGAAAGAAGACGTAACTTCTTGAGGGTGATTAACTGCAGGAGCAGCGTAGGCAGGGATGGGGTCACTGGGAGCATTGCTGGAGTCTGTAAATGGGGGGGGGGGGAGACACTAGTTCAACAAGTCACTAGGCTGCTCAAGGATCCCGTCTGTAGGGAAGAACAATTCCTCCAGTGCAGGAGCGGCTGGGTGACTGGCTCTGCAGGAGGTCAGACCAGCCCATCAGCATAGTCCCTGCTGGCCTTAATTCAGTGAGAATTAGGCCTTGCATTGGACAGAGAGACTTCAAAGCCAGGTGCTTAGCTCCTGCTGATGTAACCACAGCACTTGCTTATCAGACCTTGCCATCTGCATTACTTTGACACAGACTTCACACTGGCAGTGGGATCGAGCGTGTTCTGCTCTGTGCCTCCCCATCCCAGCCAGTCTCTGCTGCCTCGTGCCCTGTTGGGCGGTACCATGATTGGGAACAGCCGAGGCAGCACTCTAGGCTGGTGTTTGTTCCATTCTCTGCTCCAAGTTGTGCCGTCCCACTGGCAATTGGTGTGGGGTGGGTAGCAAGATCCTTGCAATCAATTCCCCTCCCTCCTCACAGCTGCTCCCGGGCTCTGCACACCCAGAAATCAATCTGAGCAGCCTGGACTTGTGAAAACGCTTCCCCTGAGCCAGGCAGTAGAGTAACACCTTTCCCAACATGAGGCTGCTCGCCTTTCCCTGGCTGTGGAGGTGAGAGCTTTTAATAAGCACTGTGGGGCCTCTTGCCGATCTGTGCTAGCGATGGACGGTGTTTGGAGGCTTTAATGATGTCTTTAGGGCCTTGGTGAATGCAAACACCAGCTTAATGAACCAGACGGTCTGCCAGTAAATCTTTCTGGCTGGAATTAGCAGATTGAACCAGTGACACCTGCTTTCAGGAGGGAAGGGGGAGGAGTGTGGGGTGGAAAGCAGTCCAGAAGAAAGGTGGTGTTTGAGGATTCAGGGATGTGATTGTTTGGTGGTGGGGGACCCTGCCAAGTTTCTGAGTGTCTTTCTCCGCCACACGCCGTTTGAACCAACAGAGCCTCAGACTGGGGCTTTGGCAGGTAAAGGCAAAAATTAGCTCCTGCGGGCAAAACCTATGTGCACTTCCAGCCCTGCTGTTGGTGCAGTTCAATGAGCAAGTACCAGGAGCTCTGTTACTGGAACAGAGACGTGACCACACGCCCTGGTCTGCAGGAGCCTGCGCTGCGCGGCTGCTCTTTGTGATGGAGGGAGGCAGCCTCCAAGCTCTCCCTGGTCAGGCTGTGGTTGTTTTAAACTTAGAAATATCAAATCTTGTCCCTGCTCCTGTGGGAGATCTGCTTGGAGCAGAAAACTGGAGCTCAGCATCTTCAGATCTCTACTGAAGGGGGATGCTGAATACTTTATAAAGCGCTTTCTTCCCAGGTGGCCAGATTTTGGATTGAACACTGTTAATACTGGAGTGTTAAACAGCCTGATTAAAAATCCCGTCTCTCCACTGCTCTGGCTCTAGCCCTGTGCAATGTCCTAATCTTGCTAGTTCTCCCGTTCTCTGAGGGGTCCTCCAGCAAAACAATAAGGGAGAAAGTGATCAGATTGATTGATTTGTTCTGGTTTTTAGTGTGTTAAAAAAGCAGGAATAACCTTTCCCGTCACGTAATAAAGTTGCTCTTTATACATAAGAAAGAAGTGCAAAAAAAAAATAATGCTGCCATTTAACACAAAAGTCCTTCTCACCGTTGTGGTAGCAGCAGGGATGAATCCGGAGTCAGTAGTCCTGGCTCCCATTCCTGGCACTGGGAGAGGAGTGTGGTCTAGTGGTTGGATCAGGGAAAATGGGAGTTTAGACTGCTGGGTTCTGCCCTGACTCATTGTGTGAACTTGGGGAAATTAACTTCCCCTTTGTCTCCATTTCCCCATCTTTAAGAGGGGCAGAATATCTCCCATCTGGGGATGCTGAGGTGGTTTGTATTTATAAAATGCTTTGAGAGTGAGACCTGCAGCTGGAGAGCTCTACAGAAGGGCAAAGTATGTGAAACAACTTCCAAAAGTACACATAATGGACCTGTAAAAGCCAGTGTTGTGACGACAGGACAAACACCCACCAGCCATGGACTTACCAGGACTCCAGTATGCCAACATGAACCATTATTAGTTAGTCACCTGACTGAGCCCAGTTCCTGCATCAGATTTTTTAGTTGCATGTCCCTGCGTGAAAGCGAAGCCATTAGAAATCCCTGCTCTTCCTTTAAATAGGCTAAGCTCTGTCCCGATCCCGCATGGAAATAGTTGGGCCTAGTTCCCATCTGGGCCAAGCAGGTGGAGCTGGTGTGAAGTCAATGGAGTTGTAGCTGCTTAGGCCAGGTCTCTCTCAAATTCCCTCGTGTTAGAGTTTGGATTCAGCGCCTGCTGGGTCCCGTTGAAGGGCAGTGATCTGCTAGAGCAAATGTTTATAAATCTGCACCTGCAGTAAAGGCTTTGGTTTCTTTGGCTCCCGGCACATTATAGCTTCACATTTGGAAAGGAGCGGGTCTGTTCAGTCTGAACGAGCTTCCTTCTACAGCAGGGAAAATAACAGAGCAAGAAAGAACCAATGGAAAGTCACAGAATATCAGGGTTGGACGGGATTTCAGGAGGTCATCTAGTCCAACCCCCTGCTTAAAGCAGGACCAAGCCCCCAAAGAGATTTTTGCCCCAGATCCCTAAATGGCCCTCTTAAGGATTGAGCTCATAACCCTGGCTTTAGCAGTCCAATGCTCAAACCACTGAGCTATCCCTCCCCCGTAAGTCTTTAGGGCGAGCGCAGTGTGTGAGACTCGTTCTGTAAGACAGCTGCCTCACAGCTCTGCTCCAGGCAAGCTCACTGTATCAAAGCCCAGGATGCAGACCACAGTTGTGGTAGTCAGAGCACAACTGACTTTAAATAAAGTCAGTAAATAACTGACTTTTTGGTTCAGTGGCCAAAATTAAAATAATAATAATAATAAATAAATTGGGGGGGGGGTGAAACTATTCCCCAGATTTGCCCTGGATTTATGAAAAATACATTTTTTTAGCAATATTTCTGTTCACTGAAAATTTGATACCCAGCTTCACTGTGTACCTCATGTAGTTCCTTCCCTGTCAGCCCCCATGGTGCCCCTGTGTCCTCTGGAACAGCGAGTGCTGTGAGTCGGGCTGGACTGGGGGTTCCAATCTCGATCCAAACTCCCCAGAAGCTCAGCGGTGGTTGGATCCAGGGGGTCGATTTCAGCTGCTTCTTGGTTATTTGGAACAAGTGGCAGAAGTAGGCAGAGTCCCCTTGCTCACCCCAGTTCGCAGGTGGTTTCTCCGCCAGGCTGACTGACGGCCATCTGTGCCTTGTGGCTGATCTCTGCACTGGAGCAGGTTGACTGTTTGTTCAGCCAGAGGGACTGTGATGGGCAGCCCTGGGCAGAGCAGGGGTGTTGCTGCCTCCTGAGGTTTTTCTGGCTGGAGTTTATAAATTGTCTCTCATTAGTCAGCAGGGGTTTGCTTGGGAAAGTGACAAGGCCAAGACAAGAGTAGCTGCCTGGGACTGCAG